TGTTCTCCCCGCATGCTACTATACTATAGTTTTTCTACGATAAAATATTTGTTCACAAATGCTTCATTCTTCAAACTGCTAGTAGTTGCAGAAATTACTTTATTAAATTCCTTAAAAAGCAAGAAGACTTATATTCCATTTGTCAAAAATATTATAGAAATTCTACTAGTGTTCATAAAAAATGCATAGTATATAGCCTTGACACGCTAACGGATGGGAGAACTGAAATTCGTGCAGAAAACAGAACTGACAATTTTTTTCTAAGGTGCTCTAAAAGTAAAAGTTGATTTGCGTTAAGAAATGGTAACCAACATAACTCGTTACTCCACAATACAAAAAATCATCATTCTCTAAGTAAAAATTCAGCGTAGAGTGGGGTAATTTGAGGAATCGAAATTCCTTCAGTAGCCCGTGCACTTATTTTTATTATCTTAGCCCTTACCACACTACTAATTTAGCATTAAGGAGTATTCACGATGTGGATTTTAATTAAGTAGTACGGTCAAATACGTATTCTTATTTCACTTCCTTACTTATAGTGAGCACAATAGCACACGCTTTCCGCATCTACAATCTACAACAACTTGCTAAAATGCCTTACCTTAATACGGGTCTAACGTACATGATTTCTCTATTTTTTACCCTACTCTGAGTGCAAAATAAAATAATGCCTAATAAGTAAGTAAAAGGCAAAAATTAAAATTCCGGTACGTTTAATGCGCTATTGTGTCATATATCAACTAAGCGATACGCTTCTTTACTTTAACCTCAAACGTTTATTTATGTTGTAGTCTAATGCATTAAACTGACATTTAATTGAAACTATGGTCAGTTGGAAGCACACATGGTGTCGTATTTCAGGTGTACGCTCTAAAAGTATAAATGGATAAAATGCTTCTTCCACTTCGTCAGTTCGACATCTGAGCTCGTCCCGCTTAAATTAAGTATTTTACCTAATGTAAACAATTACAACATCGAGACTGCCCCCTCAGCTAGACTTAATTTCAACAAACACACTGGTACACACATATTATGAAATACTTTAAACCAATTCCGGCGCGACCATGCCATATCTACCACGTTGCATCAAACAATTCTACTCATCGAGCAACCAGCAAAATCAGTAGACTGCCTAAACGATTCGTTGGTCCTAAGAAGTATGATTTTTGCCGCTTAAGACACAGTATGCGATGCTTATTATTCAGGATTGAGTGTTTGGGGATAATACCTCAAAGAAAAAGTGGATTTCATTATGCATAAGAGCTTTTGTGCACTTATATTCGCTGGCTATCCTTTTTGTACCTCAAACACATTTCGTCTATCACCACTTTGCTATAATGTTTATAATTTACCGAATGTGTTGAAGCACTTAATTGAAGGGATTATAACACCCAACGCTGGCCGAAAATTCCAAGTCTGTCATCTAGGCAAACGATAAAAGAATTGTACAAAAGTAAACGCCAGGAATCCATAGACGGGTTGTATAAGGGTGATCATGTTTACTAACCGCTTACTTACAAATTTTAAGTGGGCTAAATTTTCCACAATCTCCCAATTTTTGAGACGCCGGCCTTTGGTCCAGTAGGGATCGGATGATGATTTTGAATTTGAGAGGGGTCCTCGGAAGGCCACCGTATACAATAAACGCTTAAGTCAGTGAATTAACAAAATGGCTTTACAAATAATCATGCGAATAACCACTTACATATAAGTTTTAAATAAGGCGAATTACCACACCGCTAATCTAAATGTGTTAGCTAGATTACAAAAATATTTTACCACAATCGCCTTGGCCGGTGTCAGGGAACCCCCTTCGACATACACGTGCCCGCCGTTTGTCCAGTAGGGGTAAGCGACAATAGTAAAATGAACTTCAGTGTCCCCTCCCGAGGTTAGGGCACATCCCCTAAATTACCCGCTTACATGTTTAATTTATATAGTTATTGTGCACTGAATTGTTCCCCGTTCGCCCCCGCCAGTTCTATCCCCTAAAACCAGCTGCCCTTATCGGAGTGGAGCGCGCTTCGCTCACAATCTGGGCACCCCACTATGAAGCCTTATCAAGTGATCCCGCCGGGCTGTCCGTTCCACGTTATCATGCCTCGTTACTGAATGATGCAGTCATCAGAACTTATTAATTGGCTCTTTTCTTTCAGGGTTCAGATTAAGCAATGGTGTTTTTTTTAGTTACTCCCATGGCACAAGGTAGTAACTGCCCAAACACGGAACATGGGTGCCAGCAAGAATGCAAGGATACAAGGTCTGGCTACGAATGTGGCTGCGGGCACGATTTTGAACTTCAACCAGACGGAAAGTCGTGCAAAGGCAAGTTTTGCATTCTCATTGCAGACCATTTCTGAAACCTGATTGGTAATATTTGAGGCCGTTGGTGAACATTTTGATTTTCATAGTATCGTAGCCAACTCTGACGCTATCAACTGTCATTTCAGATCCGGGCCTGCTTATTCGGACGTCTTTTTGTTTTGTTTTGAGTAACGGACTTCTATGTACAAGCTTGGGGACCTTTAGAGAGCTTCGTTGGTAATAACTGAAGATGTAGGCTTGGTGCAACTGACTCGTAATGCTAGACAGTTGACTGTTATTCCGAAATTCCAAATGAACAGATTTACCGACAGACAGGAATATGCGAGTTCCAGACAGCAGTTCAGAAACTGAAGTTACGGTCGCAGTATTG